CATACGCTCATTACATATGATTTAACAAAATTAGAAACAAGTTAGTGACGTTAAGTGAATATTTCCTGAAATACTGTACATTTTATTTAGGAAAATTTACATGAGTCCGCTGCACATCATAGAATTTTCAAATATTTTCCTATTTATAGTTTACAGTGCCTCGTAAAGTCTTGCGAAGAAATTATTACTAAATAGTTATATTATTTGATTTAATAATTTTGTTACGCGTTTGGAAGATTTTACTTCAACGACACTACCACGTTGAACCAGAAATTATGAAAAGAAATGGAATTTTTATCTTAGTATTCTATAGAGATAGAACAAATTTTCTCTGACATTGACGTATTCGTATAAAGATAAAAGAGACTTTTAACCCAGCTCATACACACTTGGAATATTTTCTCTAAGTCACCACGATCACTGACTTGCATTGTAATAGATTTTCTCGTAAAGTCTACTTCTTTCTTAAAGAAGGTTATATACTAATTTCATTAGAAACATGCCTAAGAAAATACCTCATCTTCATAAGAAACATAACCGTTTTTGATTTACATTAGTAATAAAATAAGAATCATTGTTTTGTAAATATGTTTCTCTTTGACTCAAAAGTTTCTTCTTTATCAAATTCGAAATGAACAAATTAATCGTACATAACTAATATAATGTATTGATTGCATTTCAAGTGAATGTGTTTATTGCATCTTTTAATAAAATCTTAAAGACTGAAATGAATGTTTCATTACCAAATTTGTACTTTCTGACTTCATTCTACTGAAACGAAAAGATTCATAGCTTATTGGGAAGAAAAATTTGTACATGTTATATATTTTGATTAATTTTCATACTACTGGATCATCTTTGAAAATTTGTTTTAGTGCTAGTATATTATAAATTTTCGCTCTTTCAATGCATTTCGTATGTGACAAAAACTCAGTTTAGAAACTTTTTTTTACTTAACACCTTGTATTGCATTGCTGAACCGAGGTCATGCTTTCATTTTTATTACATATCATGCGAATTTTTTTAAAAAGGCATATTTTTCCCTTCTGTTAGCACAATTTTAATCATAATTTTACTATTACAGAGATTTCTTCAGTAAAATCTCCAAAGGTTAAACTGAACGTTTCATTACTAATTTTGAAGACTCTGGATATATCCTACTTAAACGTTCATAACTGATTAGCAAAATAATTTATACATGTACTTTGTTGTACTCTTGGTTAATTTTTAAATCGTTGTTCATCTATAATACTTGTTTTCTAATGAAGTATCGAAATGATTATTAACTTTCCGCTTTTTGAAAAGAATTTCGTAGACATATATGCTCAATACAGAAATTTTCCTAACTTACCAGTATTATTACCAGAATAGAAAACATGCAAATCTACTATTTACATATTTGTTTCTTTACAAACATGTACACGAATACCCACATTTAATAACTTAATGAGTATTTTCCTATATCAGAACTAAAATTTCGAATGGAAATTTTTAAATAATGTCATGATCCACAAAAAGTAATGTATTTGTGATGTCGTTGCCTTTTCGCAAACGTTTTGAGAGTGTACTCTCGATAGACACTTCGATACTGTTTACTCTTTGCTATTGGAAACTATTTTATCTTTGCTGTTGGTATACGCCAATGAATTCTCGATACTTTTTCTTTTGTTTTATTTTCAGCTTATGAATTATTCAAATATTAAAAATTTGTAGATCGTTTATGTTGACACTTGTGATAGATTTCTTGGTCGTTTTTGGAAAATGTATTTATTTTATCCACATGAATGAAACCGATGTTTTCTTTAAATTTTATTATTCAGAGTATTAGTCAATTATGAACTAATGCCGGATTTGTTCCCATTATTCAACATTCATATGAACTTCAGTATTCCAGATATCTCATGTAACTGTAATTTTTCCTATCGGTAATAAGAACACGAATGGAATAAATGCTGGTTATGCAGACTTAAGGTAAAAATCTGGAAGTAAAATAAATTCTTCAAATTTAGGAAATTCAGTACGATGTGCAAATATTCTTCCTATTCGAAGCTTATTTTTGGATGACATAGCATATATAAATTGCAAATTTACTAAATAAAGATATAATGAAGATCAAGAACTCTGCAAAATCTGAACGGTAATTATACAAAACTAGTCATATGGAAGATTTCATAAAAAGTTGTTCCAGCGAAGGAAATATGCAAGCAATCTCCTGAAAATCTAAGTGGGCCTTTGATCTTCGCTCTTACGTAGAATTTACCATTCTACTTAATTTTTGTAAGAGCAGCAGAGATCAGGTGCTCACTTAAGCAAGAATCTGATTGGCCATTAATATTGTATTCGTTCGTCGTTGTGAAACAAAACATACGTGTGAAGCTGTTTTCATGTCAAAGCAGGTTCCCACATGAGCAATATATCAGCTTAGTGACATCATAGTGGTTTCCACTACACAAGGTCACTGGACAAAGAGGGTGAAATAACAGGATTCAAAGGCCAGGAGCATGGCTTTTTAGTAACGGTCAGCTCTCCCATGCAAGAGACGGCGGGTTCGAATCTAGCTTTTTGAAAATTGAGGTAAAATTGATATAAAATTCAATAAAAAATTAATTAAAGAAAATAATTAAAAAATAATGACGTTCTAAATAATAAAAATTAATCATATGTAAGAAAAATTAAAAAGAGTAAATAATTAAAAGCAATTAATATTAAATAATGAATTAAATTTGATGTGATCCCAAATAAGTGGTTCATGAACTCGTTGCCACAAAAAATAAAACTTTGAAAACATTCTCGTCGCCACAAAAAGTAAAAACTTTGAAATCATAAATCGTTGACACAGAATAAAAACGAAACTATGTATAACGTCATTCTGTCTATGTCACTTCCACTTGTTACGTGACCCAAGATGGCGGAACTCACACCCCTTTTTGTGACGTCACTTCCGTCGCCCGGTTACTACTCAGGGAACTAGAAATTAAGGCCATTTTTCAAATGTAATCATTGATGTCTTCAAAAAAATTAAAAAAGAGAAAAAATAAAAAGAATTAATATTCTATAGTTTAACAGTCTGTCACACAGCCCATTACTTTTACTGTCATGCCGAACAAAATATTCCTTCATTTATTGATACAGTTGATACAGTTTATTTGATTCCTTCATTTATTGATACAGTATTTGATTTATTGATACAGATTTACAATACTTCATTTATTGATACAGTTATTAGTTATTATATAACGGTATTATATAACTAAAAGGTATTATATAACACTATTATATAACTAAAAGGTCTCAGAATTAGGCATTCATGTTCATCTTGGAAATATAACATGCATAATTTAGCGCATAACATGGATAATTCATGTACTATTGGTAGAGTTTTACGGTGTTATATAATCGAAAGGTATCAGAAATAGGCATAAATGTTCATCTTGGAAATATAACATGCATAATTTAGAGCGTAACATGTATAATTCAGGACATGGTAAATTTCTCGTATATTCACTTTGAACAATGCTAAAAGTTGCCCAAGAGCTTGTAGAGTATTTAGGGTATTTAGAAGTAGGAGATGTGAAAAATGAGCAGTCATCTCGCCGGGACTTGAACCCCGGACTTCTCTAATACGCGCCGAGGGTGCTGACACCTACACCATGAAGGTATACTAAGAAGGCGGCAGAAATATTTTATATACTCCCCCCTTTTAAAGGGCGACTGAGGATTAGCGGAGCCAATCGCCAAATCCTGTTGGTGCAGAGTCACCCTCCACTAACATTTTTAGTTCGGTCGCCACTGTAGAGACATTAGGCATTTTTTGAAAGAGAGATTTATTTATTATTATTTCGTCTGCTTCACCTCTCAATGGGCACTACAGGTCACTCATGTTATTCTTATTCGTTGCACTAGCAACCTTTTTTGGTTGTTTAACTTTTCAACCTTATTATTGATAAACAGATTTAACATCAGTTATTACTTTTGTTGGATGCTCCAATTTACAATGTTTTGGTTGTGTTAGTATAAAATTAACAAAAAAAGTTAGTTAGTTTCAAGATATTTATATACATACATGAAGAGAGGATTGCTGCCTTTACATTTCGTCAGGTGCCTAGACCTGGTTATCTGCTATGATTATGTTTCTCTTAGAATAGACATAATCTATGATCGTTCTGACGCCCCGCTGTCCGTAGTAATCCTGAAGAAGGTCTTTGAGGCTATGTGATCCCTGCAGCTGAGAAAGGAAAGCTCTGATGGTAGAAGTGAGTGAACAGTCGTGGATGTAAGGTGAGACTGAAGAAGAAGCGGAAGCACCGGAGGTGCATTTGACGTTTTGATGGCAGAACCTGCTGAGGAAAGCGGGAAATCTTCTGTGGTTTGTGAAAGCTTGTTGTAGATAGAAATCTGTTTTGAGCCTTTTGGTGGAAACCACGGGGAAGTTGGACTGGTGCCTGAGTCTTCCCAGCGAGCTTGCCAGATCGGCATGAAGACGCAGAAGATCTTGTGTTTAACAGCGACTATGGAGAGTGGAATCTCTGAGTCGATGGAAGGGTGACTTGGGGCTTCTTTAGCTAAAGAGTCAGCCCTTTCATTACCTTGGGTACCTTGATGACTACGTACCCAGCATAGAGACACTTACCTGGAAGAAGGCAGGGTAATAAGTACTTGTGGAAGGCTTGTGTGCCGTTCTTGTTTAGTGCCTGTAAGACGCTCATCTTGTCCGTGTAGAAGCCGATGGATGGAAAATTGGTGTTGCCTGCCCAGACAGCTGCCTTCTTTAAAGCGAAGGACTCAGCCTGGAAAACCGAGGCGCGGTCGCTAAGTCTGAACCGTGCTGAGTGAATTGAAAAATGAGCAGTGCCCTCGCTGGGACTCAAACCTCGGACCCCTCGAATACGCGTCCAGTGTACTGACCACTACACCACGAAGGCATGCTAAGAAGGCGGAAGAAATATTGCATAATCTATCAGTATAACCATATGTGAAACTGAGTAAAAATAAACATTGAATACAATTATGAATATCAAAATTTTATTTATTTATGAGAATTCAAGCATCAAGAGTCAAGGTACATGTATAGAGCTTGCTTATTAGCCCCAACTTGCGAACCACTTGCCGATTTCGTCGAGCCAGACGCCGAGGTTATACTCGCGGCATATGGAAAGCCATCTGGCAGGACAGTCTTTACAAGCTGCTGAAAGCTGTGTGTCCCAGACTATGCACCGAGTTCTTAAACCGCAGCAGTTGGGCCCACTCCAGAAGTGACATTGGGCTCCAACAGGCAGGCAAGTGTCATCCCTAATAGAAAAAAGAAATCATTTGGGCTCGATTAGGAAACTGGTGATAATGGAAAATAATATAATTAGAAAATAATAGAAGACTTTTTTATGTTTTTAATTTGGTGGAATACCTTTACCTAATTAAAAATATGAATACAAAGCCCAGCTGAATAAATAAGACAGAAAAGTGCAAGATAAAATTTTAAATCACTCTGTGAATATATTCTTTTAAATACGTACATTTTTGTAATTGAAATGTAATGTAAATATTTGCTTTGCATCGCAGCAGAATAATTAAAAGTATCGAATCTTGAAGTATATAGAATGTGAGGGAAAAAACACATGGAGAAATATCACAAAATTTTGCGATTTTAAGAATATTTTAAGCATTTCATTCATAATGTTTTAGGTATTTCAGGCGAGAGAACCTCGAAGGTATGAAAATTAACATTATCTGGCCTTTTATGACTAATTGTTAAGCTCATATGATACACCTGATATCAGTAATTTGAGGAAAAGAGATTATAAACCGATATGTGTTAACAACACGCAGACCTTTGAATGAAAGTTAAACTGAGTAACAAATTTTACTTTGGGATAAATTTGAACATAAAATGTTTAAAAGCAAATTGGAGAGCTTAGTGATCTTTCGTTGAGCAGGAAAATAAGGATAATTTGAGGTAACACTTTGGAAATAATGCAAGATGCAATGGTTTAGAAAAATGTAATATAGTGCTTGTTGTGTACATGTTTGCCGTTTAAATAACCAACTATTTTATACAGTGTCGGACATCCTATTCAGAATTGAATCGTATGACTCTATTTAAAGGGAACAAAATTAAACGATTTTCAGATTTTATACCGATACTATTATATAGAATCGATTTTTTCTTTATACCGATCCCATATATAGAGTTGGATTAAGCAGCTAGCGGGCCGGTCTTAGACAAAATTTAAATTTAAGCCGGATTTATGTAAATTGCTTTTGATGAAATGTCAAATACTGCCCCTTGAAACTTTATTATTAATAGAGAATACAAAAAATATTACTATAATTCTAAAATAAAAGAGTTTCTAAAATGATATATGTAGATATAATTTATAATCATTATTCAGTCTTTAAAAGATTTAAAATTTTTGTCTTCGTTTTTTGATACTAAAAATTTGTATAAAATTATCAGCTTAATCGTTCGTGATCCGTCATACCTAGGCAGCCGTCAGCAACCTTTGTTGAGTGCGAGTGAAATGATGCTAAAAAAGAAGTAATTGTAAGGAACTTGGAAATTTTTGTAAACGAAAGTACTAATATGATTTCCTTTCAGATGAGTTGGAAGGACTAAGAATAATTTTAGGATTAAACGAAAGAATAAAGTAGATGATTGCGTGTTCCATATTGAAAAATTGTAAAATTTTGTCAATTTCTAGCTTTAGTTTTAGATTTTCTGTAAAGTTGGCCCTAAGAAGTTTAAAGTGAAAAGCTAGTTGATGCAAGAGTTAAAAGAGTTAGTATTGTACTAGTTTAACGTTAGAAAGTTTTTAGACTTAAGTCTCAGTCAAGGTCATTTAGAGACCGTTAAATTTAGACTATTTAAATTCTGGTCGGGAGTTATGTAAAGATCATGTTAATTTTATTAACAGTTAAATTTTGAGTTTAACTTCCTTTCCTATCGCTTCTTAATTTCAACTTACCACTTCCGTCCAGAACGTAGTTTTAGAATCCCGTCCGAATGCTAATGAGGAAGAGCGGTATATAACCGAGAAGTTCTACTGTCTGAGTTAGAGAGAACCAGAGTTTCTGGCTAGCATGCGTCCGCCTTTTTAGGCTACTCTCTCTTAAGCTATTGTTACGCTCGGCCGTACTTTAGGCCCTTGATAGCTTCGCAGTCAATTAGCGTTAAGGGGCCAACTCCGTTAGAATCTTGATAGCTTCGGCTATATCTTTTTAGTTAAGATTAGTTAAGTTAGTTTCCTAAGTTGAAGCACGAGTGTCGGCTTTATTGTACAACTCCAAGTTCTGTTAACTTTAGTTGGAATAATAAAGGGTTATTTCACCCTTCTCACTTGTTTTCTACCTCACGAACACAAGCGATTATTCGCTTCCTAGTTCTTAAGATTCTTCACATTCAACTTTAACTTAGAATTACACAGTATTATGGATATATTTCGGGAAAGGTATTTTCATTTTAGAACAATCTTTCTTAGGGAATAGTAAAAAGAGTTTTATTGAGAAGATAATTACAATACGCTTTAAACATAAAAATTAAAATTCTAATTCTGATTATCATAAAAACAAACATAACGGAATGAACTTATTTTTGTCTTCGATTTCAATGGCTTCCCTGATGCTCAACTTGTGACGTCAATTTAGTTAAAGCTGTCTTATATCAGTCGTCTTGAGACGAATACAAGCATCTTAATTTTCGGTAATTAAGCTGCTTTTGTTTTTATTAAAATAAATTTCATATGTCGAGATATTTTGTCACATTTATAAATTGCAGCGAACGCGATAATGTTTGGTCTTCTATTTTCTTATCATTAAAATAAATTGTGTCAACTCACATGTCCAGTACTTTAGCATCAATATCATGAAGGTAAATTTTTTTTTGCTCCACTTGCTTAATCCAAGTACCTTTTTTGCAGACTGGGCGGGGGAGACCTTTTTCGTTCCTGTTTCATTCTTTTTCTTTCTTTTTGGCTTATATTAACCAGGCTATTAAATTTTGATTCGTACCTGTATGCATACATTTTTTGTAAAATACCTAAACAACGTTTTTTTTTTTTTTTTTTTTTGCTTTAACTTTTCTCCCTACTTGTCTCCACTTCCTCTTTTATCTAATTTTCTTTCCGTTTTTGAAATCTTCACATACGTTAATAGGTCATATTTGGTACTTTGCTTTGTAGAATAAATAAAAATATTTACTAGTTATAAACGTAGTCTTAAACTTACGTAATTGTAGTTGCAAACGTACGAACAGTTATTTATGAACATGAATATGTAGTACATGTATTTGGTGATATCATGTGTACATAAATCTCACACAATACACACTCGTACAGTAGGTGGCACTAAATCCGAATATATTATGTAATCAATCGTTAGTATTTCTTAGTTATACTTAATTAATATTATTAAGAAATAAGATCATAAATATGTTCTTTTATTAATTATTGAAAAGGCATATTTTTAGTTTTTAAAATTTATTATTATTTATTACTTTGTTTACGTCTTGCAGCCCACATTTTTGGAAAAAAGAGCCCTAGGTATTTGTCTCATTCGTCTAATGGGTAATTCCGTTATGAATACTCAGCTTCTAAAACCTTGTACTAGATTAAAATTTAGTAATCTTTCAAAAACAGGAAAATGATTACTTTTATAATCGTAAATATTCTTTAACACATATACCTGCTGTGTCAAATGAAAAGAGTAGTAGTGATACTGCAGTGTAAGTATCAAATGTTACTAAAATGCTAACTGTAAATAAATGATGAAAATGTTTCCTTTACCTTATTAGACACACATAAAATGATTGTCGCCATCTAGAAAATAAAGCCTTCAGCATTTAAATAAAATTGAAAAGAAATCATGTGAAACTATAGATGAATGTTGCCTATATGATGCTACTCTATTCCCATTCTTGTGTTTTCGATGCAGATGGTGTATTATGATATGTAGGTTAGACAGGAAAATAATCAAGAGCACATGGAGACTTAGCTCTGTAGTAGTTGTTGTCGTTATTGAATCTCCTAATCAGCCACTTTAAGTCCATGAATTTAAGGACGCCATGAGACGAAAGTTGCTCTTATCTTTGATCTAGGATATAGATCCTTTGTGGGCGAAAACAGGAAATCTTCCGTTTAAATACAAACTAAGGGAGAATCCCCCGGAGGTCGAATCTGAGGGTCTTTTGCACCTCGTCTCCCACTACCAGCATCTCGAAAGTATTTTTACCTCGCCCGCATTTTACGCTAAGTCTCAATTCAAATTGGATCCAACGCTATTTCAGTCGGCTTTCCTACCAGTACTTTAAAAGAGCAAGGTGTGATCTCTAGGACACGTTGCATGAAACTAGGATGAATTTCGTAGTTTCAGAGAACATTAGCTAGATTGAGACTTTAATTAAGCCTTTGCGACAGGAATGGATAACAATACCGTTATAAGTACATGGTGCAAAAGACATAATTTAATAATTTTTATAATCTAATTGAGGGCATATACCTATTCGACACTGGTCACTTCTAAAAGCAGAAATGGCAGCCATTTTATTGTGGAGGCACCTAATAGGCGGCTACCTTTGCCTTTTAAGAAGGGACGGATTGTTACCGGACTCTTCGGTATCGCAGTATGTTTCCCTAACCACTGTGCCATGTGGGCGGCCAAAAGTTAATGATAAATTTCAAAAATCTGAACATTGTTAAAATTTTTTTATATTGCATCAGAATGATTGTCTCGAAACTAACCTAATTATTAGTTACTCTTTTCTTTATGAACTACCGCTTAAAATTGCTGGCACAAACAATTGTATTATATTGTAATTGTAAAGTGAGTTATTTTTATTTGGAATCTATCCATTGAATCAAAATTCCTAGGTGACGTAACATTCTTATTCATTAAGACACAATAACACGCCGAATAAAATTAACACGCCGAATAAATTTTGTGAATTAACGCTGATTTTTGTTGTTTGACTTCTGAATCATTCTTATTCATATTGAAAAGGGGGAAATGGAGCATAAAATGTAAAGCACCGGGTTGAGCTTACGCAAAAAGTTATAAAGCTGAAGCATGCATTAGTTAATAATATAGGAGTATTCATTATATACGCTCATGTTAAAATATATGCTTCAAAGTGACTAATCATCACAAAAGACCAAGTAGTCATAAAATTATTGCAAGGAAGCCATGGCTGAAACATCATATTTGGAGTTCATTGTCTTATTGCAGCTAAATATGTTAATGTGTTAAAAAATCATGTTGTTTAAAAATTATACACTTTGTTATATACATAAGTAATGCAAACTGAAGGATAAAAAATACAATTCCTTATATGTTACTCATAATATTCGACGATTTTCAGCTGTTAATGAAATAAAGATACCAAAAAATTGAGCATTGTTATATGAACCATTTTCTTCACCATTATCTCATGAATACTAATAGGTATTATTGAGTTAAGTTGACTGACATCTAGTAACATATAAGAGTGAATTTGCTTACCTTTCTTGAGGTTTTTTGAAACCAAATACTGTTGCAACAACTTCTTCTAGAAACTCCATTTTTGCTAATCTGTCTTGAATAGCTGTAAAATTACAACAAAAATATACTTCAAAATGTTAATCTTTCAAATTAAAGTTACTATAGTTCATATGTTTCATGTACATGTAATGATAATTATGCACATATTATCCTGGCCTCTAACTCAGCCGGATATTAAATGAAATTCATTAGTTTCTTCCTCAAACCTCTACAGCACAGATGCCATTCCCACCTTTTGACAAAGAATGATGGTCAGAAAAAGAAACGTGTTTCGGTGTATAAGAAGAAGTCATATACTAATTTAATTTTCATAGTCTAGGTCACCCTGACTTGTATAGGTGATTCTCAATTAATATAAGAATATGAGAGTGGCCATTGGATATTGCGAGTTCCATGCCCAAAAGAATTCTATGAACTTTCCAATGTATCATCCAACAGACCAATACGATATACCATCCAACAGATTGCGAGGAACATAAGCATAATTTTGATATACATCCAAACCATCTGTACACGGAAAACAAATAGGGAATTCTCCAATAGACCATTTCCCAATCCAAATCTATACGAACGGATCAGAAACTAAAATGTCTGTTGGAAGTGCCGTATGTGCCTACAGAATTTATTTGCTCTTTAGAATATTGCAGGCAAAGACAAATTCAGTATTCTAAGCTGAACGTTTAGCCATCAGAGAAGCTGTGAAATTTACCAGGAAACAACAAGAAAAAAGCGTTATAATTACCGACAGAGCCTCAAACCTACTACAGGCAATAATTGGACTGAGCCGCTCGCCTCTTGTAAGGGAAATTCAACATTTACTACCTTCTTTCCCAGAGAATAGCCATCTCAAGCTACACTGGCATGCGCTCGTGTGAGAACAGTGGGCAAAGAAGCAGCCGACTAACTGGCAAGAGACTTGATCCAGCCAACTCTTTGCCAATTCCATTATCACATCTTAAATCAAGACTGAAACGAGAACTTATGTGCCTGTGGAAAACTAACTGGACACAAGAGCTAACAGGCAGGACATTTAACTTCTTCCCTATGCTCTCAAGGGAATTAATCATTACATGGAGAACAATGACATATTTCCTTACGGCGCATAGCCCTTTTGCAGCATATCTCTTTTGCTTCAGATTGCACCACACAGATTCATGCATATGCGGCTTAACAAGTACCATCGATCACTACATGTCCGAGGGCGAAATCATCAAAGACCTACATTTTCGGCAGTATAGTATACAGCTGAAAATGCCCAGTTATGCCTGAAACTACTCCAAAAAAATAAGCTACTACGAAATAAACTTAAAACTTTCATAGACTACCTGGCAGTGAACTGCGGAAACCTAAAAGCTGTCTAAAATTTACAAAATAAAAAAAAAAAAAAAGCTCTCAGCATAGATCTTGCGGTGAGTAGTGGTGAAATTACCTTCATATTTTCTAGTCCCATCTTCAAGTGTTCTGTACTAGCAACCGGTACAAAATGCCGAGGAGATATAAAGTGGTACTCCGTGTATAAGTAAACCGCACATGAGTTTCAGTGAACGTAGAAATTTCCAACTCTACACACTGATTTGTATTTCTTAGTTATCAGGCATACTATGCGTAAGTGAATTGTAAGCGAACCATAATTAAGGGACTAACTCAAGTGACTATGATGAATGTGACAAGCAAATATTACACAGGAATTCTGCAAATATATAAACAGCACATATGATACACCCTAATATACCAAGTTGGATATTGTTGAGTATAATATCAACAATCTACTATTGTTCAGTATAATGCATCTGAATAACTTTTTATATCCAAGTTACAGCTGACTTCTAGAGCAAGCATTCTCTGTAAACTCAGAATGGAATTGCATGAAACATTGATAAAATCCTCATTCAGCTCAGTCAAAGTCTTGACAGGGTCTCTTCAATAACAACAAATTTCCATCTTCCAAAGTTACTCTTAAATTCCGCTATAGAGATTTTGGCTAGGACTAGCGACAATAGAATGCTCCATCAATTTGAGTACAAATGCTGATAGTCATGTAACAGGGGATACAGTATCTCAGGTGGTGGGTAAGTAAATCTGTAACAACGGTGATGCTCCGTTTCGAAATACTTTTTCTTAATCATCGAACCATAGTCAAATTTTATTAAAATCGCTAAAATCAGCAAACTTTCCCATTACATACACCTCTAATCTACAAACTAATGGCTCTTTTCCTAGCAATCGTTCAATAGCATTTTAATTCATCACCTGCTATTATATTATATCATTCGAGCGAGCACCTACTCATAGGATAGGGGTGATCAGCTTTTTTAAAAATATGTGCTGTTGGAAAACTTACACGGTTCTAGTTAAAGTATGTTTCCTTGGCAACTAGAACTTGAAACGAGTATGGAGATTATTCGCTGTTCTCCTTATAACTGTAGAAACAATGCCCAAAGAAGGGATAAAATACCTTTTTATTCCACTCCTGAGTAATAACAATTGGCCCCTCTCGGGCTTACAGGAAAGCCTTCACTTGGGCTGTAACGTAAGATAGAAAATAAGAAACTAACGTAACTAAATAAATCCTAGCCGAAAGCTGTACAGAAAATAACTAACCGAGTTGGCCCTTAATTAAGCCTCACCCATGAATACTTACAGGCACGTAAAGATACGATCGAATGCAGTAAGATAGGCTTAAAACAATGTCGTGGCCTCGAAAACAGAATACGAACAAGAAATGTTTAGCTTTTTTACGAAAGTGCTTGAACTTCCCATTAAATACTGGTTCTACCTCCTTTGCCCAAAACGTGATACTGAAAACTCATTCTGGTAGGTAGTTGTAGGTGGAGAAACAAGATAATATAGGAAAGTGTTTCAAAATTCAAAATAATTATTAAAAATTTAAAATAATCCCCACAAATTAATTGATGTATCTAAAGCTAATATACACGTAAGAAATTGAAAAGGCTTTCTTTTACTTCTCGTATACGGTACATTTTACTGCACATATATGGTATTATGTATATGAGGTGAATTTAACAGAGATATTATAAAGATTATACATTCATTGCTTATTTTCAATAATAAGTTTCATATTATTTTAACAATAAAGGAACAGAATAAAAATAAAATGCCTTATAACAAACATAGATTATGAATTTTAGCCTGCTAGTTTGTTAAACTGGTGAAGAGTGTGCTGCTATAATTTGAAAATAAATAGGCCGTCTTATGTCTCAGACATTGCAATATCTTTAAGAATATGCTATGTCTCATACGATGTTGATGTATAATGCCAAGGTAGGATTAAATTAATATATCATCATTATAGACATTTCTAACATGTCAAATTCATGCCAAGAGAAACAGTGCTTATTAATAGGTCATGCTAAAAATCTTTCGGAACGGATTAATACAAATTTATTTCGTTTCCCAGAGATATTATGTGAAATTCTGGAAAAATGGTTAAACATATTTACACTCCCTGCCTGATTAGAGCTAAAGAAGTACAGTTTGCACCGCATAACTATATTGTAAAAGTAGTTTTTGAGTTTGTTCTAGCCTCACTTAGTACTTTTAAAATCAACAAATAATTCAGCAATCAACATAAACATAATACTTCTGTTATTATTTGAAGCAGGTGATAGTCAAATAAACATATTGAACAACTATAATTTCTATTGCAGCTTTTAATGTTTATTAAGCATGTTTAAACAGTGTAAACCATATATTTAAGTAATAATTTAACTTTAATTTACACACCCTCCATGTCTTTGGGATCCAAAAGTGCTGCAGAATTGTCGCCATCATCGCAGTTTGCGATGGCAAACGCACTGGCCACTAAGAGTACCCAAAATACTTGCATCTGGAAAAAGTTATGAAAAATTAGATTCTTTGTTCTATAAAAAACAAAAATTCAAATTGATTGAAAAGATTTTATGAAAATTGTAAAAAAATATAACATGTAACTCAAACGTAATGTTTTGCACTTAATGAGAGAGTAATTGTAAATTAGTTCAATATGATCATCTAGAAATGGAAAGGCTAAAATATATATTTAGTTTTTTAAATGTTTCTCAAGTTAGGCGTAATTACTCTTTGATGACTTTCAAACAGATTTTACACTATTTGTAGTATAATGCTATTGTAGAAGACTACAAGTCTATTGTAGCTACAAGAGAACTATTTGTAGTATAATGCTAAAGCAAAATAACAATAATAATAATAATTCAGCAAATGATAATAATAATTTTTATAATAAAGCACAGATGGTCTCTTTTGAACCTCTTCCTGTGTAACAAGTTTTGTGTTTAATGGATTTTGCCATCTATAGCTTAATATAATCCACCTGAGCACACAGAGATAAATTTATAATGTTTGTTAAGTATATTAAATATATCTTTAGCTTAACGTGTCAGAACTTGTGTTTCTCTTGATTTGCTTTGGAAACATGGTATGCCCTGAATTAGAACAGGGAGCTTACTCAAGCTATGTTCAAGATTTGCGTATAACGACGACACAAGCAGGAAGGTATACGAAACCCTTTATTTTCAACACTTTACAGCACTTCCGAACTTCGGAATACAGATACCACCACTTTGGTCTAACGTAGATATAACTACTATAAAACTCTAACTAAAGCACCTTTGAATTAGTATACAAATGCCTAGCACTAAAGCCACAACTTAAGTACTTGGGCGTTAGCAAGACAATTTGCATAAAAAAGTTAAAGCATTTAATTCTGGCCGGAAGTAGAAAATAAGATGTGATAGTACTGTTTTAAAATAAAATAAACGTTAGTAAAACTTAGGATCGTTACAATCGATGCATTCTTTCGAAGATGGAATAATGATGATGAAGCCTTATCTTAATTTGCTCAGCATCCGTTTGAGCATAAAACTAATAAAAATGTTTTACAACTTTCTTAACCATTAATAAATAATTAACATGCATTAACACCCAGCTTACAACTAAGCTTGCGACTTAGTTCTTAGTATTAACAAAATAGTACTTTATTCTTTTCCAAATTTCTTGAAATTAGTTTACGATAAGGTACTCGAGTAATTAGTAATTCTTAATAGTACATTTCGTAAAGTCAACGTTCCGATTTTTACAAATCTATAGGACGTTTCTGAAGTAAGCTGTTTCAAGTATTATATTTATAACTGAGCAAGTGCTCTTTTAGTTTTTAAATTTATAAACTGTTACTTAAAATATTCAGGTGTTCCTAGCTTTTAAAATGCACTTTAAACTTGCACAATATTACTCAAGAATACAGACAGATATTTTTACATATTAAGTAGAGTAAGCCAAGACTTCTACAGGAATTTGAAAAGAGTTTATTTCTTAAATTTTCATATTTATTAGCTGAACCTAAAAAATGAAGAAGAATATCTTAAAATTAATTATAATTTAATCTTTTTCTTTTATGAGAAATATCCAATGTTTGGAAAATTAAACGTTTGGAAAGAAATTTTACTTCAAAGTTTGGAAAATATTTTTCCGAAGAACTGCATTGGCGTACTCTAGATAATGATAGGAATATATAAAAATGAAAATATTAGTGCATACTTTCTCTTAATTAAACTTATTTAGAGCTGCTAAAGAACGAGAATAGAATGCGTAATTCAGTTTCAGTGATATTTTGAATTCGACAAACGTGATAAATAAAATCTATTAATTGTTCCTAAGAAATGCTTCGGAAACTTTCCTTACCCATAGAGCCCGAAATATTAGGAAAAGAATGTTATAAGAACGTTTTAAAATCTGTATGCGAAACACTTTTAAAATTTTTTAAATATTTCAAATTTTTGCAATAAAAAGATCCACAGTTTTGTATTTCCATTGTGATAAATTAAATGTACTCATCTGAATCTTAGAATTCACGAAGCTCAGAAAGGCACCTTATCCACGAGGCATGTTTCTATATATTTTCAATTTTTTTTTTTTTTTTTTTTTTTTTTTTTTTTTACAACTGCACAAAATATTGGCACTAGTATTCCTTATATGCTGGTAAATTTCGTACCGAAAGATTTACTAAGTAATATAGACAAAAAAATTCTTGTTTAAAAAATCTAATGAAAATTTGAATTCCTTCAATAATGGTTAACTGCTTTGTGTTCAACTCATCGTAAACTCTTCAATTTTTAGTAAATTATTAGTAGTTTATAGACATTGTTTTAGTATTATTACTAATACATTTTTAATTTCGATATACTCCATTATGTAATAATATTAATGCTCTCCTTTCTAACTATTATCCATACGAGAAGGCTCTCAAATTTACAAATTTAACACTCTGCGCCCTGTGTAGATCAAAAAAACACACTCTTCAATTATTACGACAACAACTGCGATTTTCTAACTACTCTCCTGTGTGAAATTACAAAACTGCTTCCATACAATGCTCATGCACTTATTAATAATACTACTGTGAGATAGACATTTTATTATTGTCTGATTAAACTCAGTAGCTACTTAGAATGCAAGAAACTGCAGTCATCTAACAATTGCCTTTGGCTGAGAATGAAGTAAGTAAGACTCCCGTAAAATATAGACAACAAAAGAAACCTAAACACAATGTGTAAGACATTGATGGAAAGGTACAGATATAGTTATTCTTAACTACAGGAAAATATGTGAAATCTTCTTATTTACGATAACCTCTTTCATTCTGATGTTTTGTTGAACCAGAGATCTTGAATAGTTTTGTGAAAGCAAAATGTTCTCGAGATCTGACCGATTTAAAGAAAATTGAATCAGTATTGAGGTCTTGATGTTTCTATAGTTTAGTTTATGCCAGGAGATTGCATGTAATAAAATCTAATACCAACGATTACAGATTTTGATTTGAAGTTGGCAGTAAATCAATAAATTTAAATTTAAAACTATGATTTTTTGTTAACCACCTATTTTTCAACTCATCGTTAACTCTTCAATTTTTTCAAGCCAAATTTATTTTTCAGTTATTTTGACAGTAGAAATGATAAATTAGTAGTTTTCGCAATTATTCAAGTAACATTCATGTAATAAAAATATAAAATATTTTGTCCTGAAAAAATTCGGAAATTGCTACTGCTATTCCTACGTCAACAAAATAAAATAATAAAAATGGTCTCATTCAAGGCACCATCTTTAACCTGTTAACAAATATTTTTGCACATACATCCCATCCGGATTAATAAAGGAATATCGCAGGCCAAAATAAAAATTTTAAATGCTCTTAGTTCATCCTTTTTAAAATCAAATTACGTTTAATCAGCCAACATTAAACTAACTTTATATTCCAATTTATAAAAAACAGAAATACAATCGTGATTATTTAGTTTTAGGAAAAACGCGAGAAGAATCTCTTCCGGAACTTCATGTCAGTTTTGACAAAGAGCACCCTCCAGATTATGTACACTGGTGTGCAAAACTTAAGCAACATATGTTCTTTTTTGCATAACTCCACGAGAAATCATCTGAGAGAC